TTAGAGTCAGAACAAGTTTTTGATTTGTACAAGTATTTAAGCCATTGTCTAAATGAACTCTAGAATCTAGTTTCTGTTGCAAGGTCTCTGTTCTACTATTTTTCTGCGTCCACAGGCACATGTGTATTTGTGTGTGGGGAGAAGTCTCCCTAACTGTTTTTCCTTTCTTGACTTTCCTAGGCTGCCCACTCCTTCATTAGACCAGTAAAGTCTGAAGCTTAGACCCTCAAGGAACCCAAAACTCTATGCAGGCCAAAAATGTGAATTCTTGAGAATAAAGTCGGGAGGCCAGAGAACTCCCACCTTTCAATTCTAGTAGAATATTAAAACTTCTACAGAAGACCAAAGAACAGGAACTAAAGTACTAAGACAAAGAAGCACAGTGCTTCACAAATCTTCAAGAAAGCCCTGAGGAGTGGGTTTTACAAATGATTAATTAGTATTATTATCCTTACTCTAATATACAGTAAACCAGACAGGTGAGGGCATCAAAGTGAAGCAGGATTAAGGGACAGGCATGAAGTAGCACCACTGGCAATTTGTGAAATGGTCCAAGTGACCTCTATCTGGGCCACAGAAAAGACTCAGAAAATGTTGGATAAATGAATCAATGAAGGGAAGAATAAGTGGATTAGGACTCACATCCAGTTGCAAATCCCATGCCTATTGGATCTGTCATCTTTTGTGACCATATTTGTAGTTCTCCATTCCCTGGGGTGAGTGTGTGTCATCTACTCCAAGGAGAGCTGGAACCAAGCATTCAAATATCACCTCTTTGTTCTGCAGATGTGAAACTTCTGTCTTGAGATTCCAAGAGGGAAAATAATGGCATTCTATTTCATTGGCCCTTAAAAATGTGCCCTGTTCCAAAAGGTTCGATTTATAAACATTACTGGAAATGTGGGAATGGATGCTGGGAATTCCTAAGCTCCATGTCTGCTTGGGCAAGGACACAGCTGCTCCTCCTGTAGATTATGGGCAGAGAAATATTGCTATTGGATACTTGTTGGAAATTCTAAGCCCCTTAAAAATATGACTCCTTTGAAACAGGCTTGACAAGAGACACACAGGCAGCAGCATTTAGATTTTTCTATCGATCCCTCCTTTGTGGTGTGGCCAGGTGCCCTACCACTGAGCACGTTCAATATTTTTCTGTTTCTCCAACTTCTAGTTGGATTAATCTCTGGAGTATCTTGAAATTTCCTGAAGTTTTCCGCCCATGAAATGAGCCACAGAATTAAAAACGGCCAATAGAAAAGACATTTCTAGTCTGGGTTTGAATGCTTCCAATAATGGACTGGAAGTAGATTATGTACATTTCGCTTATAGGAGAGAAAATAAAAAGCACATAGGACTGTCAAGGATTCCTATGAAGTCAGAGCAAGGGCAACTGAATGAATGCTTCCTTTGTCCAGTCCTTGTTTAAGCTGATTTCTTGCCTGGAGAATTACAAAGATTCATAAGCCAGCGTCAGATTTTACAAAAGTGAAGCAAGCTAATGATCCCGTTACACCTTAGTTTTTCTGGAATATAGCAATGAATAAAACTAAGCAAAACCTTAGTTTTTCTGGAATATAGCAATGACACAACAAACTTAAAAGTTATCATGTCAGCAAGTACGACAAAGCAAGAGTAAAGATGACCACTTGGATGGTAAATAATATGGTGAAGGCTTACAGGCGTACTTAAAACAAACAAACAAACAAACTTGACTTGTACCCAAAATAAACTGACAAAGACTTCCCTGAATTAACTTGAGGTGCTAATTGCACCATTTAATTTTATCCATATTGCATGATGCGAAAGAAATGATCGCTTATGTTAAATGTAAAGAAAAGTGCATGGAGGAGCAGAAGAAAAAAACAAAAACTAAACCCAGGGGTGTGAAATCCCCAAGAAAGACTGTGGCAATCTTATTTGTACAGATGGGTAAATTCAAGGGAACCATTTGGAACTGTGTTACATATAGGGATTTTCATATTTATGGAAAGGTACAAGCTCGAGATTCTCCACACACATCCCCCGCCCCAAGTCCCCTGTTTGTTCAAACAATCTTTTGTGGAATAAATTCATGCTTCCTTGGCCCAGAGGAAAAGTTGTGAAACTTAGGTAAGCACAAGTTCACTGAAATGCTATGTTCAAGGTCTTTGCCATCTTACAGAGAAACAAATTTAATTTCCACTTTTCTGTAGTTTAGAAAATAAACACCAAGAGACAGCTGAGCTGTTTGACCACAGCACTATTTCTAAGGAATGTCCCTGTAGAAATGGAAGGGTATAAAGAGAAGGCTGACCAGGATTTCAGAGTTTTACACACAACAGGCAGTCAGGAGGTTGAAGGTTGTGAAGGCACCCTCTCCTCTCAGCCTCATAACCAATCACCCAGGTAACGCTGTCTGTGAGCTGGCTCTTTAGCTATAAAGGCAGTAAAGGGTGGGATAAGACTTGAATAGGGAACCACAGAGCTGAGGGCTGGAAGGGAGCAGCCTCAGTTAAGACATGATGTTCCTAAGTTTCCTGCTTTTGGCTGACAGATGCTCCCAGATGGCTGGTGTGCAAGTCTGTAACTTGCAAAGCAGGCTGGAAAGATGGTTCTGCTTGCCAAAACCAGAGCAAGTAGGAAGCTAACAGACTGAGCTAAGAGATTTGGTGCATTCTGTTGATGGATTTTAATTCGTCGCCTACTTTGGGACATAAAACTGGGCCCAGGAGAAGTGGTGAGAGAGCTCTTTGATTTTTCTCAGTGGTTTTCATCCATCTGAACATCGTAGGTATAGGTGATGGAGTGGAATTTCCATCGCCTCAATATCACTCTTTTAACTCACCTTGGACCACTCTCTCTCCCTTATTACCAACTAGACAACAGCAGGTATCTTTAGACCAGTAGATCTCACCATGTGATTCCTAGATCACTTGGGAGTTAGAAATGCAAATTCTTGGCCTTACCCTTGACCTACTGAATCTAAAACTATAGTGGTGGGCCCACAAGCTGTACTTTAATACGCCTTCCAGGTGATTATGGTGCACACTCTAATAGATACCCACGAGGTTAGGCCAAGCCAATCAGGTAAACCAGGTAGACCCAGTTTACAGAGGAGGGAAGGGAAGGGAGGAAGAGAGACAGAGAGAGGCCTCCACTCTACTGATTGCTGTCTGGCTGTCTATGTGATGAAATTAAGATGCTTTCATATCTGTAACCCACAGGAAGTAAAACTTTCCAGGGGAAAAGGGACACAGAGACATGGGAATGTTCCTAAGAGCTTTTTACTGTTTAGGAGGAAGGTGTCAAGATAGGACACTCAAAGGAAAGTGTTGCTATTTCTCAAAGCCATGGCTCTATTTTATACACAGCACACATCTGAAATGTCTTCTCCTTTCTAGAGACAGACAGAGAATGGAAAATGGTGATGTGCTTGAGGGTGGGGAGGAAGTCAGAGATTGTGCCGGAGCAGGTCCATTAATGGTTCAATCCAAGGAGCTGCTCTGCCACTGAGGATCATGGTGACTTGGAAGATTCTTTAAAAGTCTCTAGTTCAATCCGAGTCCTGATGTGGCGCTACAGGATTAGCACTGGACTTGGATCACAAGGTAAGCAGTTCAAGCTATCAGCTGCTCCTTGGAAACCCTATATAGGGTCACTATGAGCTGGAACTAGTTAACAACAACAACAGTTCAATCACCAAAAGAATGAACAAATCTGTCTGGGCAGAGATACAGCTGGAATGTTCCTGAGAAGCAAAGATGGTGAGATTGCATCTCGTGTACTTTGGATGTGTGGTCAAGAAGGACCAACCCCTGAAGGACATCATGCTTGGGAAAATAGAGGGTCAGCGAAAAAGGAAGAGCCTCCCAATGAGATGGCTGGACACAGTGTCAATAACAAAGGGCCTCAGACGTAACAATTGTGAGGACAGCACAGGACCAGGCAGTGTTTCGGTCTGCTGTACACGGGGGTGCTGTGAGTCAGGATTGGCTCAGTGGCACCTAACAACAAGGGAGATAGTAGATGCATCATCATCATCAAGGCACAACTGACTGAGCAGCCTTGTATGCCAATAACATACATACAAGGTATCTGATTATATTATTTTTAAGTTTTTCAGTAACCCTGCAGCCTGTGTGCAGAAGAGGAGGCTGAAGTTGAGAGAGAATCGGAGCCTAATAAGAGGATGAAACAAGGTCTCACGCAGGTGTGACCTCCCCCTAACCTAACACTTGGTATCAGCCCTCTATCACATTTCTGCCTGATGATTTCAACCCACCCATTGCCTGAGCACTTCCAGGAACAAGGTGCTCCTTACATCCTAGGGCAGATCATCTTTGGACACGAGAATGTTCTTTGACGCCAAGGTCATCAGGTCTTGGTTCTATCCTTTGGGACTCCATAGCACACACCAGGTTCCTTATTTTTAATGTGCCCCCCTCCTCCCAAGTTCCTTTTTAACCTGATACATTTTTTAATGTCTGCAAAGAGCTCCAAGAATCTTAACATCCTCAGGCCAAAAACCCTGGACTCATTTCACCACCTTTTATTTTCTGTTGTAGAAAAGTAGGCAGACATTTGAAAACCTTGATGATCAGTATTCGTACACAAACATCCACATCTCATAGAAAGTTATTCTTAATCTCACTAAAGACTCTGACAGCTGTTGTGTTTATGTAACTACAGGCATAGGCATAAATCAATAACCCACTTCTTCTCCATTGCGCCAGAGAACAGAAAAGGTCAGAGTAAATGAATCTCAGGGCGAGAGGGAAACCCTCTTTTGATGTTTCCAAGATAAGCCTTCTCTGGAGGCTGAACTGAGTTGTGGGCGATCCACTTGGCTGCTTATTGAGACATGCCACCCAAGGGCCCCATGGCCTTGGGTCCTGGATTGCAACGTTGGGTGGAAAATGAAACTTCCGAATCACACAGTGATCTATCTTGAGAAATCTATCTTGGTGCCATAAGTGGAGATGGAGCTTGCCAGCCTCATGCCCAGAATGTGGGAATCTTACCCTGCAGCACCCTGGTCTGGGACCTTGAGGAAATCCAGGCTCTCGGGTGTCTGGGACACTCGATCTGAGCCAGTCGACTGTTGCCGTGGCAAGGGTGGGCGGGCCATGGAGGTATACAGGCTTCTTTGATTGGACCTCTGGTTTCCAGGGCCATGGGGATGTGGCACAAACTGGTTTTTGATGACTCCATTCTGATGGTATCCTAGAGACAGGAAAAGAAGATAAAATAAAGGTTAAATTTTCTGATTCTTGGCTAGAGGGCTCTCTCTAGTTCTTCCATTTATTTACTATGCTACTAATGGTGTTTCTCAGGCAAGCTACTTAACTTGAGTTCCCCTGGGAAATGGAAAGGATTAGATCTAATACTTTGTGAATACTGGCATCCTGATGTGACACTATAGGATAAGCACTGGATTGGTAACCGCAAAGTTGGTGGTTCAAATCCACCAGCTGCTCCTTGGAAACCCTACATAGGGTTGCTATGAGTTGGAACTGACTCCACAGCACTTAACAACAACAATTGTGAATATCAGAGCCAATACATCATAAGCTGCCCGCAAGTGCCTCAGACACAGGAGACATGTAGCAGATGCTTGTTGAATTCTGACAACAGAATCAGCAGATATCCAGGGTTTCCAAGCCCACAGTCCAGAAAAGGTAAGTGTGCAGCTAGATGGCAGGCAAATTCATGGGTCTAAGAAAAAGTATGAGGTTATGACTCAAAAGAGCTGGCAGGCAGCTGCTTAAACAGTCGGACATCCATTTCCAGGGTGGCTGGCCTTGTGTTCTCTGCAGGAGCACATTGAATGAGGTAGAGAACACTTCTCACAGGCAGGGAAAAATGTGGCCACTGGCTGGGTCAGTCTGGATGGAGCAAGCTTTCTTGGCTAAACAACAGCTCCTAGTTAAGATCACATTCACCAGTAAGTAAGGGATTATAGCCACAGGTTCCAAACCATGAGCCTTGGCGAGAGGATGTACTATCAATCCAGGCTTTGCAGGAAGACATTCTTTTGCTCCCACCACTGATTGTTCTGGAGTGCAGAGGGAAAACCAATCACCCTAAGTCACACACCACTGTAAGAGCAACCAACTTATGAGACGAAGGAATTCTTTGGTATTAGTGCAATGGCATTATATTAGTTTATAATAGGAATAGGGGTCCAGTTCTGGCTCGGGCAGCTGTGTTGACCTTGAACAATGTATGTGACCTTTCAGAGTATCAGCTTCTTCACTAGAGAAATAAGGAGAATGGTCCAGAATCCTCTGGTTACTTCCAGTGTGGACATGCATTTTCTCTATATACTCAAGTCCTTATTATGCAAAAGCAGGCATTTTCCCTACCCCAATAAGAGGGCCTACTTTTAATTATAGTACTCTAGGGGGCGGGGGAGGGGTTGCTTTGGTCAGGATTCAGAAATCTTTATTTCCTCTCACAGGCTAAGCAGGGACTACGCATTTGGGGGAAAACAGTCTGCCTGGGCATCTAACCCCTTTTTCCGAACTCCAGGGAGAGAGGTTTGGGTGGGTCTCCCCACAGAGCACATTTAAGATCCAGGGTTCGGGTCTGGTTTCTGGGGCGGGGAGGAAAATGAGGCCTGTCCTATGGAGACGAGGTGGCACTTGCTGTCAAGGCTGGCAGTTCAGGGACATGACTGAGCAGGATGACCTGCAGGAGGACACAGTGCGGGGTCTGATCTCCTTGCTGCTTGCCACCAACCCACCTGCCACAAGGTACATTCAGAAACCAAGGGTGAGCAAGTAGAAACAATCCTAGCAGTTTGGCAAACACATTTTATGTCTGTTGAATAAAAATAAAGACAATTTGGCTTTTATTTTGTGTGCTTCCAAAATTTCATTCTGCTAGTAATTCATTTTTTCTTCATTTTTATTATTTCTTGCATATACAAAAGTATGGTTTATCTATGTATCCACAAGCAGGTCCACAGACACACCAACAATGCGCACGCACTGCTGAATGGGAAACTATCTGCTTAGTAAGATTTCATCCAATTTATTATAAAAAGTTTTTTTTTAAAAAGCATGGCTTGTGATAGATTATAGAGATTAAAAAAACAATCAAATAAACAAACGGGAAAAATAACAAAGACTCAACCTGGTCCTTCAACATGGAGAGTTTGAGAGGTGCTGATACAGGGGGCTCTGGTCCAGTTGCCTCATTTTATTGATGAAGACACTGTAGCGTTAGTGAGATTAGGAGTTCAAGGTTTTGCAGGTACTTCAGGGCCTGGCTTGGGCTGAGGTTACTTGGGCCAAAGTAGCTGGAGAGTCCTGGCGTGATGCTGGGAAGTAAGCACTGGATTGCTAACTACAAGGTCTGAGGTTCGAACCCACTAGCCCCTTCTTGGAAACCCTATACAGGGTCACTGTGAGTTGGAACCGACTTGATGGCACGTGACAGCAAACTGAGGAAAATAAGCGTTGTATGTGGTCCCAGCAAACTAACCAGAATTCAGCACTGGGAGCACAGGCAGGCAACACAATATTTCTTTACTCTTCTTAGGTTCCTTTGTGCTTATACATAATTTCAAAGACTGTTGTTGTCATTTAGTGCCATCGAGATGGTTCCGACCCATAGCGACCCTATATAAGGTTTCTGAGGAGCGACTGGTGAACTTGAACCACTGACCTTGTGGTGCAAACTGACTTTGCAGTCCAGTGCATTAGCCCAGAGTGCCACACCAGGACTTCAATTTCAAGGATAGATTAAGGTAAAGATGCAACAGCGGAATTCAATAGTGAATAATTGTTATCATGACTAATTGAGACTGTCACAATTGTAAAGGTAGAAGTTTTATAACAAAAACGGGAGAATAATTAATCTTACAGACCAGAAACAGAGGACCGTATGACCAACAAGGGAGAAGAGCACAAGCAGAATGCAGGGCTTTATCCAGAGAAGCCAGAGCTGGAGGCAGAGATGGGGACATGGAGGGAGGGAGCAGCTGAGGACTCTAGATTCATGGGAAGAGAGGGACTAAGAGCTGGTGGCCAGGAGGCAGGCTTACAGAATGTGCCCTTTAGTGGTGTAAATTATTATATATGCCTGAGTGTTAAATAAAAAAAAAAAAAAGAGCTAAAATGAATAGAGAGAAATACTGTTAACTGATGGTACATGGAGGGGATTATAATCATTGTAATGAAACAAAGTACACGATTTGTTAAAACTGACGATCTGCCCTGTGAACTTTCACTCAATTCACAATAAAAACTTTTTTTTAAAAAAAGAAGAAGAGACAGCAGAGTCCAGGCAGGATGGGGCTCCAAAGGAGATGAGAGTTTGTTTTCCCCTCCCGGGCACTGCAGTCAGTATAGTAACCACAACTCTGAGATTCCCGAGCGAGAAGCTACAGAAACACATTTTACTGTGCATCTTGGACACTGCTTTGAATAGGAGGATTCCATCGTTTAGAATGAATTGAGTCAAGTATGGTCCCAAGATGACCCATTCAGACAGAGTCCTATAACTATTAACATCAAACATTCTGGAAACAGTTCTTGTATGAACTGAATTTTGTGAGTGATGAGGTAAAAAAAGAACGACTTGGTGATTTCTTTTAGTGCTCTTCAAACACTGAGACAAACAAACTAGAAATATAAAATATAAAGTCCCAAAAACTTTTGTAGTAATTTTGTAATTCTCGCACATATTGTGAGTATTTTACTATTTTGGGGGGGGCAGGTCTCCTGTATCTTAACTGACGAAGAGTCCAGGTTTTCAACTTGTACATTCAGCTCTGCTGAATTAGCTACAAACCTAATTTAGTGGTACTTGGCTGGAGGTAGCTGGTGGTTGGGTTATACCTCACCAACTCCTGTTTCCATAAAGGAAGCATCCTACACCTTAGAAGCTGGCAACATTCCAGTTGCCACCAACAAGGAACTTCTTTCTCTGTTACTGAAGCAGAAAGTCTTTCCTAAGGGGGTACTATCACTAGGTAGTGGACTCCAGATTGTTAATTCAGCTGTTACTCAACTCTCAGTAACTCTTACTTTTCCTGAATTTGGGGGTCACAGGTAGGACTATTGTGTTGGTAGAACACACCTGGCATGGAAATGACCCTCTTATAGTATGTGAGCATTTATTTGCTAATGGGTTTCCTTCTTAACATACTTTGCAGGTCTATGGGTTCAGTCTTAATGGTCCCAGTCTATGATACATGCTCTACTTACCTGGGGGAGGAGGGGCGGCCCTCATTGGATAGCTGGTATTTTGAACCCCACTGGAATAACCTCTGCTTTGAATTGTGTTCCTTCTGGTAGGACCTAAAATAAACACACAAGGCAAAGTTCAAATCAGTACTACGGGTTGGCTTTATGGCTCCTGAAGACACTTTGGTTATGAAAACCTTTTGGAAAGTTTGGAACCCAGCCCTCAATTGGATTGGTAGGAGACTGGCTGCCGTGGAAAAGGGATACTTGACGGAAATACTGTACTGGAAAAACTGCTGGTTGGGGAGAGGCGGAGAGAGCTGGAGAATATATTTACAGAGGGACAATTTTGAAATGTTAGAGACAGTGGCTTTCCAAAGAGCTATTAATAAGGTCTTACAAAGGTGTTTCTATTTTTGTAGAATTTCAAAAGAGACAGATGGAACGTATTTTAAGGTTTCTATGCATGTTCTGTGTGTTGCACAGAAGCTGAACTTTCCATCACTGTCTCTAGCAGAAAGCATATTTTGGTACTAACTGTATACCTGCCTGGAGCCTCCATGTAAGAATTTGACCTTTACAGTTTTGCAATGCAGTGGCCACAAATACAGAGGCCACAAAGGATGTCCTTAACACAAGGACATGGAGAAGTTGGAAAACAGGCCAGACTGTGGGCCCTCGTTAGTGCTGGGATGGCAGGGCCATGGGTAGCCAGATGAGATGTCTGCAGAAAGAGACATGGGAGTTGGGAAGAGAAACAATATGGTGGCTACACGCATATGAAGGCCTCCACAGGTTGGGCTAGACCAGCTGGGAGAGCGTGGAGGGAACTGTAAAGAGAAGAGCTGAAGAACAGAGAAAGGTAGACAGTGACAAGTGTGGCCCAAAACAGTCTTGGGGTTGTGAACAAGGGTGCTAAGAGAATTGACCACGTGGGCTTCAGTGAGTGGTCCAGTGAGGAATGCCCTCTCAGAACACAGAGCCAGCACCCTCTCCCATTTGTTCTTGTGAAGTGCCTTTGAGTCAGTCTGGACTCATAGTGAGTGACCCTCTATAGGGTTTCTGAGGAGCCACTGGTGTGTTTGAACCAACAACCTTGTGGCTAGCAGTCCAGTACTTATCTTACAGCACCACACCAGGACTCTGCACCCTCCCATAGACATATATAGAGATCTAATAAAGATCTAATAAAGTATTAGACTGCTCTCCATTTTGGGGCTCACACACACAGTCGCACAAGTCCTGCTGATCATCTGTGGTCTCTTCTTTCCTGGGATCTGAGCCCTGGGGACTGATCTACTTCCTGGCTGATTTGGCCCATGGGAGGCACTGGCAGCAGACGAGAGAGAGGATGAGGTATTCTGCTGGGCCTGGCAGGACCTATTTTCTCCCTCTGTCTCATCATGATTAGAGCTAACAATGGCTTCTCACTATTTGTTGTCCCTGGGCCCCCATTTTATTTCCTTAGCCCTGCTCACACCACTGTAACTAACCCTTCTATTTAAGGCTTTGCCAAAACTTCCACTAAATGTGCTGTTTCCCACAAGACCAGACCCAGACACACACCAACAGTTTCCAGGTGGCTATTCTACTCTGTTCTAAGGAGCCCTGGTAACATAGCGGATTGAGACTTGGGCTGTTCACTGCAAAGTCAGCATTTGAAGCCTACCAGCAACTCTGTGGTTGAAATATTAGGCTTCTGTAAACATTTATAGCCTTGGACACCCTATACAGGGTCGCTGGGAGTCAGAACTGACGCCACGGCACACCACTACGCTCCTCTGTTTTATAGGGTTGCTATAAATCAGATCAACTCATTGGCAGTGGACTTTTTAAAAAACACATACATGAAAGTATAAAAGCACTTGTATTTATCTGCGTGACATTAAGGTGCCCTGGTGGGGCCAGGATTACGAGTCCAGCTGTTAACTGAAAGGTTAGTGGTCAGAACCAGCACTCACTCACTCCAGGGAAGAAAGATGCAGCAGTTTGCTCCCGAGTGATTTCAACCTGGAAACTCCTGGGGCAGCTCTACCTTGTCCTGTAGGGTTATTATGGGTCGGAAACGACTCCATGGCAACAGTTTGGTTTGGGTCTGGTATTCCATTAATATGGCAAAGTATTTTTGTATACACTAATCTGATAAAGGCCAGTTTTATGGATAGTATAGTCTTCATTAATGATACACACCAAATATTTAAATTTAAAGATACCTGTATTATACAAATACAAAGTATATACAATTATAATGGTATTATATATCCTGTATAGAGTCTTGGTGTGGCGCTATAGGTTAATGCACTGGACTGCAAAGTAGGTTTGAACCACAAGGTCGGTGGTTTAAGTTCACCAGCTGCTCCTTGGAAACCCTATACAGGGTCTCTATGGGTTGGAACCGACTCAATGGCACTTAACAACAACAACAACATTATACACCTAATTTGTAAATATCAATTATAATTAGAACAAGAATCAAAGAGAGGAAGTTAGACCAGGGTTTGGGCTGGAGGTGGGGGGTGGCATTCTCATAAATCGCTCTAAAGTAAAGGTGAGATTCTTAGATTTGAACCACAATATGTTGTTGTTGTTATGTGCCGTGGAGTTGGTTCTGACTCATAGCAATCCTGTACAGGGTTTCCGAGGCTGTAAATCTTTACGGGAGTAGAAAGCCTCATCTTTCTCCTGCAGAACAGCTGGTAATTTCGTACTGCTGACCCTGAGGTCAGCAACCCGATTCGTAACCACTCCACTACCAGAACCACAATATAGCATAGTGAAATGAAGGAAAGGGGGAAATGTGGTCAATGTCTTTGCAATTGGCACAGAGGCTATTGTTTGCAGTGTTAGTGAGCTGTAACTGGAAAGGGCTGGGAAATTTGAATCCAACAGACTCTTATTTCTTGTAAATGCAATATTAGAAATGCCCTGTATGCTAACCATAAGTTTTTAGTCATTCCCAGTCCTTTAACCATTAGCATTTCTCTGACACTGGTTGAAATGTTCCATTTAAAGAAAATCCCAGTTATAAGAAACAGTAAGACCTTGCACACACCATCAGCATTAGGTAAGTAGAGCAGTAGAGCAGGAAGAAGCAGGCCCAGGCAGGAGAAGCCAGACGTCACTCCAGTGGCGTGGTGCTGGGGAGGGGTCCCTGGGGGCACTTACGGGAGTTCTTGGGCAGCCCGGGTCCGATGCTGACCTGCAGCACTTTGTTACTGGGCTTGAGGATGGCCAGGTCACCAAAACCTTGGTGGAACTGCACTTGCCGGGAGCCACCTGCACTCCAGGGTCCCCAGTTCTCCTTTTTCAGCTTCAGTTCAAGCCTAAGACAAGTACATTTGTTGGAGAGAATAAATGAGAAAATGGTGCTCAATGGCCCTAGCATGGAGCGGTGCTGCTGGGCGAACAGGAGTTAGAATGAGGCAAGACTGGAGAATCCGAAGTTGGTATGCGGATCTGAGGATGGGCAAAGCATCCCAGGACATGGCTTGGCTGCAGGGCAAGCCCAACTGGACCAGGGAAAAACCATGTGGGACCTAGAACCTGAGAGAAACCAACTCCACCAAAGGTATCAGTGTCACTCCAGCATGGCACCCACACAGGTGGCTTCAGGGGGGACTGACCAGGGGACAGATGGAGGGGGTGATTTCCAGGTCACACCTGCTGTGTTCATGTCCCTGTGTTTTCCTTGGATCTTTGTTTTAGTGTGTTGAGGACTGTGAGAAGCCAGGCCCAAGGTAGCTGAAGACTCTGTTAGCCTGGCAGTTGCTAACAGTCCTGGTATGACGCTGTAGGAAAAGCATTGGGCTACTAGCCACAAGGTCGGCAGTGCAAACCAACCAGTCGCTCCTCAGAAACCCTACTATAGAGCCGCTATGATTTGGAACCAACTCGTTGGCAGTGAACAACAATTAGTGAGGTTTATTCCTCCAGGATCCTTGTGGAACTAAGCCTTTCTCTAGGCCTCCTTCTGTGACTAGGGAAGAGATGAAAGGTATCCAATTTTATAGACAGGGGCATTTAAGAAACATTAAATACGGTATCTACATTAAATACAAGATTGGAACATCAATAGCAGGCCAATGTTTGGTCTACTAGACCGTGTTGCCCAAACAAATGAGAGATGCTAAAAGACAATACCCTGATCATTAGCAGCAAGTCTCTGAATGCATTGATTCCCCCCATCACTGTTTTCTGCTTACAACATGACTCTAATCTTGAAGTTCTCCTAAATATAAGATCTTTATTGAAGATATATAAAAATCTGTCTTTCTCTGCCACACTGAGAAGTGTGAGCCCCAACTTACGTATTGCTGAATTTCAGAGGTAGTTGCTTCTGGGTTTTTTCCTCATAACGTTTTGCTAAGAGGCTTAAGAATTCAGTTTTGAAGACGGATTCAAGCAAACTGTCATACTCTTGCTCATGGAGAATAAAAATGTCATCCTGCATAGTACTGTAAAGGGATTGAACAGACACAATGAGGGTTTAAATAAACTTTAGTTTATTCCATTATTTTCCACTATTTTTTAAAATCTTGTAAGATAGTTTCATACAGCTTCATAATTTTGTAATAATTAAAACAAAACATAACAACCAAACCCAAATCCATTGCCACTGAGTCGATTCTGACTCTGAGCAGCCTGGCAGGACAGAGCAGAATGGCACCGTCATGGTGACCAAGGCTGTGATATTCATGGAAGCAAACTAGCACAGCTTTCTCCCAAGGACTAGCTGGTGGGTTTCAATGTGGACCTGAATGCTTACTTAACCACTGTGCCACCAGGATTCCTTAAACACAACAGTCAATTACATACAACAGAACTGTGGAGATCTAGTTCTCAAAAGAAGTTCATAGCCAACCCAAAACATAATCAAAATAATTATTTTCCATTATTTCTAGAACCAGAAATTTAAGGATAATTTTAGTCTATGTGAAGAGAAAGAATCTATTTTTAAATCTGATCTCTGCCCTTGATGGTTAGTTGTGTGCTGTTGAATTGGTTCTGATTCATAGTGACCCTGTATAGGGTTTCCGAGGCCTTAAATCTTTATGGGAACAGAAAACTTCATCTTTCTCCCACGAAGTGGCTGGTGAATTCGAACTGCTGACTTTGTAGTTACCAGTCCAACTCACAACCCACTAAGCCCCCAAGGTTCCTTTTGTCTATGTCATTAAGATCATAAAATATATAAGATATTAAGACTCAAAACCAGGCTGTCATAAACAGAATGTGGCTGAAAAGGAACAATTCTCAAGTAAGTGTCCAGGTAACAGAATTTCTGATATGGTTGCAGCTATTGTGATAAATCCTAACTGGAAGAATTATAAGCTTGGTTATACAAAAGGAAGCCAACATCTAAATGTTTGTATGCATTTATAAAGAGCCTTTTGCCATATTGTGTTCTGTTTATTCTTTGTGCCAGACGTGACTAGAATGCATTGAATTACAGAGATACTTTTTTGTACGATTGTACAAATTACAAGCAAGGACTCATCAACACCTTTGAACAAAAAAAAATTATGTACTATCTCCAGGCCTTGCTAGCCTTGTGGAAAGCACAACACATCTCTAATTAAGAACTGTACTCCTTAACTCAGCTGGATGAGGCTACCAACCCAAAGGCTCTATGGCATCCAAGGGGGCTTGAAAGAGTTCGTGGAAAAGTGGAATGAAAAAAGAATGGAATATTTCCCATGGATTTTCTGAAGCTTTCTCATACAACTGTACAATGACCTCCAAGTACACTATCAAATGACCAAGATAAGCCTTGAAAAGATGACATTTATTAGGGACTTTCTAGATATTTTTCCATGTATTCAAAATAAATAAATGAACTTGCTTCAAGGAACTGACTGGGGTAACATTTTAATCTCTCAATGAGCAGGTAAGGCCACAGAGATGGTTCTTTCAGCAGTGAGAGCTGTGCTCTCCTCCGGGGGCTCTGAGGACCAGTGCACCAGTAGGATTACTGCGGTTGTGCGGAATCAGAATGGGGATGCAACTGGGTCATATGGAAGACTGGCTTTAGAGAGAATCTTTGATAATGGGAATTCCTCTTCTCTGTATTACTTGATGCTTTAAAGTGTAGCTCCTGTGGTTTCTCTGTTCGTTCCCATGAACATAACACAGTCAGGGCCAGAGAGACTTTCTGAGCGGGCCTGTCAGGAATCTTCTCTTTCTGCTGGCTCCCAAGGGCCTCAGCTGGATTGAGACAAGGAGCTAATGACCTGCAGCTGATCAAGCAAGAAGCTGTAGCTGCAGCCTCGCTTCCTGAAACCTTAGTATCTCTGTATTCCTAGAGGAGAGAGGCCTGGTTGGTAATCCATAGGACAAGAAAACTCTAATATAGAACAATAGCACAATTGGAATTTGAAAGCACATGATGGCATGGTGCTTAAACCACAGGATGAGAAAACCAAAAGAGAGATACCAGTGTCAGGAGAGTGGAACTTGGCCCTTTCAGTCTGTTTACTCAATAACATTCTTATGTCAAAGGGTTCTCCTTGGATGAGTAGTTAGAATACTTTATGGGCATTTTGGGAGCAATAATGGTCTTTGGAGCTCTGGGATCATAGTGGTTATGAATCGGGTTGAGAACTGTAAGGTCAGCAGTTCAAACTACCAGCTGTTCCACGGGAGAAAGATGAGGCTTTCTGCTCCCGTAAAGATTTACAGCCTCGGAAACCCTGTAGAGGGTCGCTATGAGACGGAACCGACTGTTCGGCACATAACAACAATGGTCTTTTGGGTAAAGCACTTGGCCATTCTACTACTCATCTGTCAGTTTGAAGTACTAGGGTGTCCTGCATGCTCCGGTGACATTTGAGGTTATGCCACTGATATTTCTAATAACATGGTGGACAGCTTTCAGCAGAGCTTCCAGACTACGACAAGTGAGGAAGAAGGACCTGGTGATTTACTTTTTAAAAAACTGGCCAGCTCTCGCTTAAAGAATGGCAGGGAAACAAGTCTAATATTGTGCGGGAAGATGAGCTTCTTAGGTTTAAAGGCACTTGCACATGACTGGGGAAGAACTGTCTCCTTAAAGTAGAGCTGACTTTAATGATGTGGATGGAGTAAATATTCCAAACCTTCATTTGTTGATAGTGCATGACTCAAAATGAGAAGAAACTGCAAATACCCATTAATAATCAGAACCTAGAATGTACACAGCATGAATCTAGGAAAGTTGGAAGTTATCAAAAAAGAAATGGAATGGCTGCGGATCAATACTGTAGGCATTAGTGATATGAAATGGACTGGTATTGTCATTTTAAAGTGGATAATCATATTGGAAAAGAATGGCACTGTATTACTTGTCAAAAACACCATTTCAAGATCTATCCTGAAGTATAATGCTAAAAGTGATAGAATAATATTCATATTACTACAAGGAAAACCAATGAATACAACAATTCAAAAGTATGCAACAACCACCAACGACAAAAAACAAAACAAAACAAAAAAACCACCAAACTCACTACCATCGAGTCAATTTCTACCCACAGAGACCCTATATAGGGTTTCCAAGGCTGTAAATCTTTATGGGAGCAGAGTCTCATCTTTCTCCTGTGGAGTGGATGATGAGTTTGAACTGCTGAACTGTGATTAAAAATCCAGTACTTTTTTGATCAAACATGCAACCAATGTGTATTAATAATTTTCTAAAGCAAATGTTGGAAACAAAGAAGTTGGAAAATATAGCCATGGGGAAAGAAGCATCTGAAGATATCATGATAGAAGTTGGCAAAAGCTGTTGCTGTTGTTACGTGCTGTTGAATCAGTTTCAGCTCACAGTGTCTCTATGCACAACAGAAGGAAGCCCTGCCTGGTTCTACAGGAGTCTCACACCCGTTGCTATGTTTCAGCCCATTGGTGTTGATTCTGTGGAAATCCATCTGTTTGAGGAGGAGGGTCTACCTGGTCTTTGCTTACCCTTCCCTTTTCCAAGGATGATGTCCTCTCCAGAGACTGTCATCTCCTAACAACATGTCCAAAATATGGGAGACAAAGTCTCACCATCCTCACTTCTAATGTGCATTTTGTTTGCATGTTTTCCAAGATATATTGTTGATTCTTTGGGCAGTCATTGGTACTTTCAATATTGTTCTTCCTTCCTTATTCATTGCCCAATTTTCACATGCATATGAAACAATTGCAGATACTATGAATTGGGTCAGGTGCAGCTTAGTTCTCAAACTGACATGTTTGCTCTTGAACACTTTAAAGAGGTCCTTTACAGCTGATTTGTTCAATGCAATACATCATTTGATTTCTTCACTCCTGCTTCCATGAGCACAGATTGTGGATCCAAGCAAAATGAGGTCTTTGGTAATTTCAATCTTTCTCCATTTATTGGTCCAGTTGTGAGGATTTTTATTTTCTTTACATTGAGGTGCAATCTATATAAAGGCTACAGTTTTTGATCTTCATCAGGATTTTAAGTCCTCTTCACTTTCAGCAAGCAAGGTTGTATCATCTGCATATCAAAAGTTATTAATGGATCTTCCTCCAATCATGATGCCACATTCTTCTTCATATAATCCAGCTTCTCAGATTATTTGCTCAGCATACAGATTGAATAAATATGGTGAAAGGATACAACCATGACACACACCTTTCCTGATTTTAAGTTATTCAGTATCCCCTGGTTCTGTTCAAATGACTCTTGATCTATGTACAGGTTCCTCATGAACACAGTTAAGTGTTCTGGAATACTGATTCTTTGCAATGTTATTCATAGTTTGTTATGATCTGGTGAATACCACAGGACTTCAAAAAGGTGGAGGAAAAATGAGATTGAAAGACAATGGAATTTTCCATGACTTTTTGAAGTCCCTTTGTACCTTTTTTTGGGGGGGGAGGGGAATAAAAGACAGCATTTATTCAAAGACTCCCATAGCTGTCATGGGTCAATAGCTAGAAGCATGCCTTTTCCTCCAGGCTAGATTATGCCGTAATCATACAACTCTACTTCTGCATTCTGAGTGATCATGAAGAAGAGATCCTAGAAAATCTACCCCTTATAAACTACATAAGTGGCTAGAATGCAGATTCACTTCTGCTGGCTTTTTGGTTTCTGTAGTCCTTTGGGCTTGCCTCAGACTTGTCAAACATGTGCTGGCACACATTCATGAGCTCACTTAAGCACCTCTGAAACAGTTCAATAGCTGCAAGACCATCTCACGTCTGAGTGCACAAAATAGTTTTGCTCTCCAAAGGATGGGTGGTCGTGTATCCACAAAATTCTACATCCAGGTCCTTTATGATCATGTAGCACAGAAAATTTCCTAGTGTATGGTTCTCTTTGTGCAAGACAAAGGTCACACAGTGCTGATCTGTGCCCACTGCTTGGACCATTTACAGGGTAGTCTTCCGCTACAGAGGTCTTCTGCCCACTGCCCATGCATTCTTCTCTCTAGCTCCTGATCCTCTTCCACCGTGGCAGTGC